ACTCGTTCTTCAAGGGATTTTGCTGTAGGGGCTTCTGGGGAGGGGCTCGGGGCGGGTGGGCGTATTGCAGCATGGTTGGTGCATCTTGAGTTTACTCTGATCCTCTCATCTTCCACTTCCTCCTCCTCCTCCTCCTCCTCCTCCTTGTCCTCCTCCTTCTCCTCCCCCCCTCCTCCTCCTCCTCTTCCTCCTCCTCCTTTCCCACCCTTCGCAGAGGAAGAGAGAGGGCCTTTTCCAACAGTGAGAGGGGGCCGCGGATTGTCACATTTCTGCTGAGTGCCTACTGATGCCGTTGCTGCTGCTCTCCTCATCTTACCGCTTCTCCGCGTGCCCTCTGTCCTCCCCCTCCTCCTTCCTCCGCCGCGTATTGTCCGCTCGTTTCGGGGTAAGTGTGGCGCTGTGGACCTGCTGGTGTGAGAATGGGTGGCTGAACGTAGGTCTACCAGATGCGAAGTCGAATTGCCGATCGCGCAGTGGAGCCAGAGAGGGGCGTGAGAGGGGGACGAAGGACGATAGGGGGGAGGGTAAGGAGCTTGAGAAGGGCATGTGGGGGGAGCGAAGCGGGGCGTGAGAGGTGCAGGGAGGGGGGAGGGGGAGGGAGCGAGAGGGAACGACAGAGAGGGACGGTGCGAGACGAGCGGAGGGGCGCAGGGAAAGGGAGGCCGTCGGGGGGGAGAAAGAGGGGGATGATGCAAGGTTAAAAGGAATGGAGCAGGGAGGAGGAGGAGGAGGAGGAGGAGGAGGAGGAGGAGGAGGAGGAGGAGGAGGAGGAGGAGGAGGAGGAGGAGGACGAGGAGGACATCAGCCCACGTACGATCTTCTGACCCCGCAGACTCCTCCACAGACCCCATGACCCAAAAACGTGGAGTAAAGTACTCGAACACCTTGCTTCTTCATCCTGCAGCCCAGGAGTTGCCCGGCTACTTCGGCTTCGACCCCCTGCAGCTGTCGGAGTTGGCGGAGCAGCTCCCCAAGCTCCGCTCCGATGCGCCTTGGGTGGCCGAGGCGGAGGTGAAGCACGGGCGGGTGGCCATGCTGGCGGTGACCTACATGGCCGTCCGCGAGTTTTACACGCAATCGCCCATCTGGACGGCACAGCTCCCGACGATGGTGAGGCCGATTGCCGAGGTCGTCTGACAATTCTCCAGGGCGGAACTTTTTATCTCCGACGCTGTAGCACGAGCATCCCCTGCTCTCCTGTCGCTGCACACAACGTCAGAGGTGGGGATGAACATGCTCTTTGGTGCGCCAACCGCTTTGCTCAGAGGCGTACCGAGTGTACAGAAGATTTCAATGCCTCTAGTGTTAGCGCTCTCTATTCTTTCCCTACCCCTTCTCCCTGGCGGACGTCCGACGTCAAGCTCGACCCCAGAATCCTCGATCCCCTCCCCGCCAGTTCACCACCCCACTCAGGAGGGAAAGAAACACACAGACACAATTAATCCTCGATTCCCAGAAAATATGGGAAAATATGGGAATTGGGGGGGAAGACAAAAACCCAGAAAATATGGGAAAATATGGTGCGTATTTTTATTTGTGTGTATTTATTTGTGTGTCCTGGGGCCCCTTCACCCACGTCGTTTCTCGATGCTCCCCGGGGCCGGAACCTGGCGCCCGTGGGCCGAAGGCGTGGGCAAGAACCGGGCGTCGGGCATTCTTCGTGGCGCCGGAGGCCTGGGCCCCCTTCTCCTGCGGCTGCCGACCCTCCTCCCCTGCCCCTGCCCCTCTCTTTCCTCCTCCCCGTCCTCCCCCTCCTGCTCGCCGCATGCTTTTCCTCTACAATTCGTACTTGTGTGATTCCACTCTGCCACATGGCTGGCATATAGCCCCCCCCCCCTGTCGGGGACCTTCCTTCGTGCCCATCGGAAGTGGTATACAAAGTGGTATACAAAGTTTACGTTGTCCGTCCCAACATTGGCGTTTGTTTTGGCGCCGACGCTGCAGACTGCGCGGCAGGACTGAGACGGGGCGCACATGGTGCGCGACAGTGCGAAGCGTCGTTCTCGCCTCGGCGCCGCGCGTGGATTTATCCTGAGAGTTGACCGCTCGGCGCGGCGCAAACTTGTCGATCGCCAGCTCGTCGACAACGGGATGGTTCGCGGGCGGGCGGAGCATAGCTTTCGCCCCATCGCCGCGCAGACTTCGCTGAAAGTGGCAGTCTCACTCGAGCAGTCGCTGGGAGCGGGGCCGTGCGCGAGCGGGCGAACCGCAACCCGCGCCCAAGCTCTGTGTGCCCATTCCGCGGTGGAGTGGCGCTCTCGACTCCGAGCGCGGCGCATATTTTCCGCTCCCTGGGTTGCCGGGGAAGTGGCAGCGGGGCTGCGTGCGAGCCCACCAGCCCATCTCACAGCAGCAACTCTTGCGAAGCATGCCGACAGTCGTGTTTTTCAGGCGTGTGTCCGCTTGGCCCCGCATATCTCCCCTGTTCCTCCTTCCTCCCGCCTCCTTGTACATCCTCCTTGTGGGGGGAGCGGGAGAAGGACGAGGCGGAGGAGGAGGGAGAGAAAGCGCTCCTCGTGGTTTGAGTCGTTTGGGGTTTCTCGTCCTGGTGTGAGTCGTTCGGGCCCTTCTTCTTGGTGTGAGTCGTTCGGGCTCTTCGTGGTGTGAGTCGTTCGGGCTCTTCGTCCTGGTGTGAGTCGTTCGGGCTTCTCGTGGTGTGAGTTGTTCGGGCCCCTCATCCTGGTGTGAGTCGTTCGGGCCCCTCCTCCTGGTGTAACTCGTTCGGGCTCCTCGTGGTGTGAGTCGTTCGGGGCCCGCGTCGTGGTGTGAGTCGTTCGGGCTCCTCGTGGTGTGAGTCGTTCGGGCGCCTCGTCCGGGTGTGAGTCGTTCGGGCCCCTCGTTGTGGTGTGAGTCGTTCGGGCTCTTCGTGGTGTGAGTCGTTCGGGCTCCTCGTGGGGCCTCTTGGGGGCCTCTTGGAGCCTCTTGGGGCCTCTTGGGGGCCTCTTGGGGGCCTCTTGGGGGCCTCTTGGGGGCCTCTTGGGGCCTCTTGGGGCCTCTTGGGGGCCTCTTGGGGGCCTCTTGGGGCCGCTTGGGGGCCTCTTTGGGGCCTCTTGGAGGCCTCTTGGAAGCCTCCTGGGGGCCTCTTGGGACCATCTTGAGGCCTCTTGCGACCTCCTCAGAAGCGCAAATGAGAGCTGCCCCCTGAGAAGGACAAAATGAACCCAAAACCTTTGTAACATCAATGATTTTGCTATGAAGGAAGATGAGCGCGGCCCCCTCAGGACGCCAAAATGGGGCCAAAACCGTAGTAAAATCAATGATTTTGGCTTCAAAGAAGAGCAGAGGGGCCAAACTGCATCCCCCCGTCGGGGCCAGAATCCTCGTGAGGGTCGTCGTTTTTTGGCCCTCCCAGGAGCCGAAAAAGACCCCCCTGCCACCACCCCGGACTCCCTGTCCAGGTCCAGGGGGAGGGGGTAGAGGGAGGGGTAAACCCCTCCCCGAAGGGGAAGAAGGGGGTTGAGAACAGAGCGGGCTCTCTAAACTACTCACGCCCAAAGGGCTGGTGGGATTAGTACTTGTGTGATTCCACTCTGCTACATGGCTGGCATATAGCCCCCCCCCTGTCGGGGACCTTCCTTCGTGCCCATCGGAAGTGTTATACAAAGTTTACGTTGTCCGTCCCAACATTGGCGTTTGTTTTGGCGCCGGCGCTGCAGACTGCGCGGCAGGACTGAGACGGGGCGCACATGGTGCGCGACAGTGCGAAGCGTCGTTCTCGCCTCGGCGCCGCGCGTGGATTTATCCTGAGAGTTGACCGCTCGGCGCGGCGCACACTTGTCGATCGCCAGCTCGTCGACAACGGGATGGTTCGCGGGCGGGCGGAGCATAGCTTTCGCCCCCATCGCCGCGCAGAGTTCGCTGAAAGTGGCAGTCTCACTCGAGCAGTCGCTGGGAGCGGGGCCGTGCGCGAGCGGGCGAACCGCAACCCGCGCCCAAGCTCTGTGTGCCCATTCCGCGGTGGAGTGGCGCTCTCGACTCCGAGCGCGGCGCATATTTTCCGCTCCCTGGGTTGCCGGGGAAGTGGCAGCGGGGCTGCGTGCGAGCGGGGGAGATGTTGTTCTGGCAGGAAGGCCGCGCAGATTTCGCACGAAAGTGTCAGGGCGATTGACTGCGTGACAGTGGGCCAGATGGTGCTCTCGCCTCAGCGCTGCGCGAGGAGTTTCTGGAAGTTCCGCTCGCGCCCGTTCGCGGTCCGTGTTTTTTCCCCTCGCCACGTCGTCGGATGCAGGACCGCGCGCGAAGACCTTTTGCTCGCTAGGTGGGAAGGAGCGCCAGTCCCAATATCAAGGTGCGCCAAAATCTTCTCTGATGTCATGGGAGGGAGGGTGGGGGCGGGGCCTGCTTCGACTTGGCTAAGAGACTTTTTCCCTACCTAGGCTCTGCCTAGAAGGGTTCTTACTCTCTTAGCTTAAAGGGGCCGGGCAGAGGAAAGCGCCCCAGGCGGTTCCCCCAGTCCCCGCCACGCGGTTCCCCCCAGTCCCCTGGGAGCTTTAGCTTTAGCTTTAGCTTTAGCTTTAGCTTTAGCTTAGCTTTAGCTTAGCTGTAGCTTAGCTGAAGCTTAGCGTTTCGCTTAGCTTTTCGCTTAGCGTTTAGCTTAGCTTTAGCTTAGCTTCAGCTTAGCTTTAGCTTAGCTTGACCTTAGCTGTAGCTTAGATTTAGCTTAGCTTTAGCTTAGCTTTAGCTTAGCTTTAGCTTAGCTTTAGCTTAGCTTTAGCTTAGCTTTAGCATATCTGTAGCTTAGCTTTAGCTTAGCTGTTGCTCAGCTTTAACTTAGCTTTAGCTTAGCTTTAGCTTAGCTTTAGCTTAGCTTTAGCTTTGCGTTACTGTTACTACTAATACTGCTTTCCTAGGGGTTCCAACTCCTAGGTAGGGTCGCACTGGGATAATTTTTTAGGGTCGGGCGACAACCTGGGTTATCGGGCTTGTCCCCCTCCCCCCCCTCCCAGGATAATCTGACCTTGCCGGTTGTGCAGGTCCGCGGGAGGGGGGGGCGCGGGCAT